TATCGTACAATAAAGCGCCGGGCGGAATAATAACGAGTTGGTAAAAAAAAAACCGACGGGAAGTGTGTCGACGCGTATGCACGGGGCCGCACGTCCGCTAACAAATACGCGGTAAAGTTACTGTCGCGTGTGGCCTCGCTCGCGCACGCTAGCCCGGACCGAGGCGTTTAGAGGCCCGGGTGCCGGGGCTCCCGTCGAAACACCGCTAACAATATAAATTTCGGAAAAATATTGACTGCACTCACACCTAATAACAACACGGAAATTCATTATCGGGCAACGAGAAAAATATCGGAACGCCGAAGCGCCGCGTTCACACGTGTGCATAAAGGACACACCGTGGCGGAAAATCGCGGGCCCCGGAAATCTGGTGGCCCTCCGCGGGCGCGCCTTAGTCCGGGTTCGCACGTACGTACAAAATGAAAATGGCGTATATTACGCGCCGATGAATAGCTTTCGCGGAACGTCGTAAATACGGGAAACCGACGCGACAACGCGACTATCCCAAAATTAATTTTTCTACCGTCCGTCGAGTGGCTAACGCGCGGTCACTACGAAATAACATTGTACGCGGTTCGACCGTCCTCGTCCGTCCTTGGGCCAACGGTTTATAATTTTACGTGTATAATAATTGCGAACGATACGGCGGTTCTGCGTTGGAAAAAAACCGGCCGACACCGCTGAAATGTGCGCCGCTGTTGGCGACGGGAACGCGTTTATAGGATACGTAGATTCATTTCCATTCTTGCGGCAACGATAAATCGCTGCTGACGGAACGCGGGCGGAGTTCGGTTGTACGGCGTTTTACGCGACAGGCCGTGGTGTTTACGGTTTGAAAACAATAGTGCGTTCCGTACGTTTTCCCGTTTATTATGGTAACCCGTAACGGAAAAATCAAAAACCTAACCTCCTCGCAAAGTGGAAAAAGTGAACAGTTTGAATTCCAGAGTCTCGTGTAACGCGAAATCGGTAACAGCGTATTTTAAAATCGACTTTTTCTCTCGTTCCACGGCGGTCGTGGCCGCGCGGTACGTACGTTCCCGTGTGTAAATCGATCACGGTGGTATTGTACAGACGAATACCGACAACGATAATAACCGTGTGGCGAATTACGAAATTACGCTGTTAACGATAATACGAAATAAAAACGAGCGGCCGTAGAGCCGCGGGGATACCGGCCGCGCGCGCGTAGGCGGCGCCTCCACCCCGCATCCCGCGTATCCTGCCGTCTCGGACAGCGCAAATCGCCCGGGACGCGCGTCGTCCGGACCGCCGCCGCGGCGCAATGCCTATAAATAATATTCTCGCGAGTTTCGGCATGGCGGACGAGTAGAACGCCAGCGTCGGGTGGGGGCGGTGGTGAAACAAAACTAATTACAGGATGAGTAACCGCGGCCGCGTCGGCGTTTCGAACCTTTTGATGATGCGACGCGGCGGCCATCGCCGCGCACCGACACAACGACACACGAGTATTGCGTGCCGTCGAGTAAAAACTGTTAGATTAATTTCGTCGAGGGGCGAACTCGGGCGCCAACCGGTCGCGAATAACCGTATGGTCTATTTATATACGTTTCGTACGCATACGCGCGAGGGGCATTACTACACCCAAATACGCGTACGTTATTGCGTCCGGGGAGAGCGTCTGAACGGCGGCAGATGGAATTCGGGGGGTTGGGTGGGGGGGTGGTGGGTGCCGGTCACCGGCGGCGGCGGCGTTGGTCATCGGCCCGACGGGAGGCCGCGGCGCAATATACGTGTGCGATACCCCGCGCGCGCGTCGACTGCTATATAATATATGTGTGTGTGTGTGTGTGTGTGTGTGTGTGTGTGTGTAGACCGCGGCGTCCGAACGAACACACACACACGTTATACACGCTACGGTGTGCGTGCACGTGGACTTATTGCACGGAAAAGAGAAAACGGACCCCTGTTCGAGGCATTAGCCCTTTAATTATCGGGGACGACCGGCCGGGCCGTCCGTCGAGGGATCGCGATCTCCTTCGGCGCGTAACGTAATATATATGTATGTAAGTATATAAACCCGAAGGTTTTCTTTGGTCATAGACCCCCTCGGTCTGTACGCACCTACTTACTTACGACTCGACGTTTCTGCCGCGGGACCCGCAATAATAACGTGCCCGGCGTATACACAGGTATACACGATGCGCGCGCGGGTCCGAACGGTTTTCAGATTCGGAAAGCCGGAGTCGGCGTGTGTCGACGGGCTCCTCGTGACGTCTTTTCGGGGCGGGAACGGGAACTGGAACCGCGGATATCCAAACACCGGCGTTTTTGTAGACTGTTTTTTTACGGACGAACCGTACGGGCGCGCAAGAACGCAACACCTAGCCGCGTACAAGAGGTCATGCGTGCGTACGCTGCGTGCGCGTATGAAGTCGGCCCTTTCGCTACCGTTGTCCGCGCACAGGGCCGCGTAAACATAGACAATGTCGATGGTCAAACGCGAATGTCCAATATTCAGATCGAGCGTTTAGGATCGTACGTCGCCGTACACGGACAACGGCAGCGAAAGGGTTAGGATAGGTCCGTTACGATAGGGTGATTCGATAATGATCCGGGTCGCGCGTCGAGACTCAACGCCAATACTCTGCGAGTTTTAACGTTTTACGGGAGGGACACGCGACGGGCGCCCGTGATTGGTTTTACTGTGACGTGTGCCGAGCAAAATGCGTCTCGAGCGTTACGAGGAGGGTAATTTCTTGATTTTCGCCACAGTCGTCTTAACAATTTGACGGGGAAAATGTGGGAAAACCCGGCGGATTTACTGCAGTGACGATTGCATTATTCCGTTTTAAACAAAAATGTCGCTCTAAATTTCAAGTGTAACATCGTTTCCGGATGAAAACTGTGTCCAGGCGGTTTCGTTTTACTTTTATTTGATGGCCGAATTGTCGGTTTTAAGACCATTGGGAAAAAATTACCTCTTCGGTACGCCAACTGCAGAGTACATATGGACACTGCGGTATTCACGTTGGCGATGTGTAGAAAAATTATTACAAAACGATCCGTGACGAATTAAACGACCGCCGCGTTAGCCGCCGGTACAGACTGATGATGCACATTGCAACGCCCTGTGCACGACGAGTGTCGACAATTACTTTTCTAACAAAAAAACCATCATTATAACCGTGTCAAAAGTTACGTAAAAAAATTGTTTACCATACTTCGTTCTTTTTAAAAGTATTCAGGTAAGCCGCGAGAAACAATATGCCATAATTTTAACTGGTTGGTTAATCAATTATAATATACTTGCATTTAGTTGATTCAAAATTGTTTGTATATAGATATGTATTATCCGAATTTTATATTTCACGTAAAATTGTTTTGATCGAAATTAACTCTACAAATTACACAAGCAGTGGTCTAAGCAGGAGGATTCGGAGGAACGGAGTCATCTTTTTAATTTTGAAGTAGAATAAATGCGACCCATTTAATTTACATCTTCAAAGTCGGCATAGGAGGATCCATAAATGTATTTCAATAGCGAAACCCCCAAAAGGCACATCATCGATACTGAAGCCATCCACTAGGCACCGTTTGGATGGGGGCCGTTACCTTTACCGGCAATAACATAGTGAAATTCATACAGAAATTCAGCTATACCATCACTTCAATCCGCGTGCAAAGCAAATGTAATTCCCAAATTGAAGCTCATTTGGTCGTGAAGAAGCCGTTAAAAGTGCACAAAAGTAGCGGGAAAAAAATAGATATGATATGTTCTGTAGTTCTGTTACGCATACCAAATATGCGTAGGCTACAATAATAGTCTCCGTTTTTAGAGCAATTTCGACTCGAAATCGTCGAGTGTAAAAATAACATAATCACGTGATGTTTTATTTACCTCGATTGTTATTTTTATTTTCATTATTCGATATTACAGAGGAAAAAAAAAAAAAAAAACGCAGCTTACAGTCGTGACAATGTTTTCGATGTCGGGAAATCGGAGTTATCTCCCTCCCCCCCCCACCGTATATTTCTATCCGTTCTACGGGCGCCGCCGCTATTACATATCTATCAGTTTGTATAGTAGAAGACCGTTGTGATACACGATGATGTGTATCGGGTGTCCGCGCGGATAGGAGACACGCGGTTTAAATGGAAAATTACTGAACCGAGCGAAATAATACAGTCGCGGGCGCGGCGTTTTCGAAGAAAAGAGTTGTTTGTTTTTTTTTTTTTTCTTTTTATGCGTTGTCGGCGGAGTACTGTTTTCGCATACACGCGCGGCATAATACCCGGGAGTTGGGGTTGAAACCGACACGTCGCAGCAATTACGCGACAAAAGCCCAGACTGACAACAATCTCGCCCGTACCTACGAATACGTACTCTCGCGAAATACCGGCGAAATGCTTGTGTGTGTGTGTGTTTTGGACGTTTTGTCAAAGGGGTACATATAATACGCGACAATGCGCGTGCAGTACGAGCCATCATCTCGCGCACAATAATACACGCACACACGTGTGTATATAATATTATGTGTGTACGGAGAATCCGTCAACGGACGAAAACAGGTGCGTTTCGGTAAAAATAAACCTAACCTAATTTCGCGTGGCGACACCGCCGCGGCGGCTCGTCGTAATGATACGGCGCGCAAACACTCCGCCCATCGTCGCGAGGTCCGCCGCACAAAAGACCTCGGTGCGGTGCGCAGCGTCTCCAAAAGCAACAAACACCGATGACATGTTATGATAGCGAACCCTTTTGTCGTCGACGGGCTACGACACGCACACGCACACGCACACACACACTGCGGTGATTGACGTGCGCGTATCTTGCAAGTGTTGTACCCCCCCGTATGTGTATAACATCGCGCGCCCGGGCGAAGAGAACGCGACGGCGGAATTTCGTAGTCCCCTTTTCTTGTTTTTTGTTTTCGTCGTGTGTTGTTGTATTTTTTTTTTTTCTATGTACGGACGAGTTTCCGATTATTAGACACCAGGTAAGGCTCGTGCCGTCGCCGTGATAATAGCGTAGAAAAAAAAAAAAAAAAATTAGTCGGGTTTAACCGCCNNNTACGTGTTTTTTTTTTTTTTTTCGTCGGCTGTTATTGTTGTTGTTGTTGTTGTTGTCGACGTGTACGTAAACCCCTTCGTCGCAACCCGGACGAACCTATTACACGTCTTCATTAAACGCGCGCGCGCGTGTAAATAAAAAAGAACCCGTCGTTAAAAAAACCGGGTGCGCCTACCCTATAAAAAAAAAAAAAAAATTAGTCGGGTTTAACCGCCGTTTAATAAGTCATTATTATATGTGTATTATATTATATTATTATAGACGGCGGTATGAGGGCGCCGCCTAAAGGGGTTGCGGCGCGGCAAAAGGGTTCGGCAGGTATTCAATTATTCGATTGTGTTTGCCGTGGTTTTCACTATACGCACCACACACCGCACTGCTGCCACTACCGACGCCACTACCACTGCCAGTGTTCAATACCCTTTTTTTTTTTTAAACGGATCCGCGATGGATGTAAACGACCGCGCCGAACGGGTTCCCGAACAAACCTGTTCGACGCGCGGTCCTTTGTACGACGCGTTACGCTACACGCATACTCGGAGGTGTGCACGTATTGTACGCGCGCCGACGTATGCAATCGCGGACGGTGAAAAATCGTCCGGAAATGGTAGCGCGCGAAAACCCTTTCGACGCGAAATATTCAACCGGCGTTTCTGTAGTTCGCTCGGCGCGACCCGGCGGTGTTCGGGGGTCTTCGCGGCCCCGGGTTTAAAATAAGCGCCCCCTTCCCCGCCATCCCCCCCAAAAAAATAAACCCGATATGTTTTTTTTTGTTTTTTTTTTTTATAGCGTCGACTAAATATACATTATCCGCGTGTTCCATTAATCAACAAGCAGAACAATAACGCAGATTGCCGACACGGACAATGCGCGTGTACATACAAAATAAAATTGGAAAACGTATGATACACAAATCGTACGAAAAATCGTATAGAAAAACTGGAAAATTAAACTTGCCTAGTTGCTTGTTATGGGTGTCAAGAGGATTGTGGAGGCGTTTCCCCGGTGGGTCCGTGGTGCGTCTATAATTTTAGCACCCGCAAAGTCGATGGTCTAGTTGTACCTATGCTTGTCTACATCGGTACATACAATATAAATCGCATTAAAGTGCAAAAAACACATTCGAAATAAAATTGTCAAGGAGATATTAAATTAGTGACACCATTGGCGTGCACGGGAATTTTCAACGTGAGAGGTGATATGGACATGATGTGTAATAAATTACATTTAAAAGCCAGACCCGAAAAACCAATACGTATGATATTAAATAAATCGAACTTTTTGCCTTTTTGTAACCCGGCCGATATAATATAATATAATATTAACGCAAAATTACAAAAAAAAAAAACGTATGGATGATTTTTTTTTTTCAACCAGCAATAGATTAGGGATGGAATAACCTCCCACTCTTTGCACGCACCATCGAGCGACAGTCGCAGTAAGTCATAGTTATGTTTTCATCGAATTCGTCAAAATTGCTCAAAAATTTGATACCAGGTTCTCCCTATTTCAGCCTCGAGTATAAATTTCGATGATAACCGTATAAATTCCCGCATTTCGCGTACTATTTTTCGGCCTATACGAATGCAACTGTTGCGGCTCCATAAAAAATGCTCAATATTTTCATACGGAAAATCGCGGACAAATGTAATTTATCGCATATAACTGGGAAATAGTATTAATTGCGAAATACAGTTTTCAATATGAGTTTTCAAAACATAGCCGAACTTCGCTCACAATAGTTTTTCGTTAGCAATGGTCTATCGTTGGACGCGCATGTAAATTAAATTATTCTATACGTCCAATACCTTCTCAACTTCCCGCCTAAAAGAGTGACACATTCTTGGTGCGGGAGCATGTCGTCTTTTTTTTTAAATTTATTGCACCTCGAAACTTACCTTATTGTTTTTAAAAAAAAAAAAACTCATAAAATGTTTATTATTATAACTTCTAAACCATTTTAATTTGTTTTTTCTTTTAGTTAGTATTTATCGTGGGCTCGTCGAAAATTACGACGATAAAATGCGAGTGTAAAAAAATGTAAAATATTTGTCGTGCGAAATCAATTATTTAAAAACGTTGGAAGTTTGTATTTAAAGTTTAAAAACTATTTCCCAGTGTTTTTTCAAACACGTTCGGTATTACTTTTTAATTCAACGCGAACCGAGTAATCGGAAAACACTTTTTGAAACTTCCCGGACGTTCTCGCAGTACACAGTTTACAACTTCCGGACTCTGCGAAATTCACGCGGCCGCCAACGACGACGAAAAGTGGAGGGTCGTAAAATGGCGCGGACAATTATTTTTGGCCGTTGCCCCTTCTTATGGTCTGCCGCTGCAGGGCACCCTCGTCGGCCGTTACTTCGGTGCTGCAGCACGATGCAAGGTCAAGTGCAACGTTGCCTTTGTTTCTTGCGCCATAACTTATATACGAATCGTGAATCATCTATACGCGTATACAGAGTGGCACTCGTGACACGAGCGACATTATTATTGGTCGATTCATTAACATAACGTTCGTTTTCCCGTTCGGCGCCGGTCCGAACCCCGGACCGTTTGTTACTGGTGAACGGTAAACCCAACGGTGTCGCGCGAGTTTTCAAACAAAAAACGTGTTTATTTTGTGTGTGGTTTTTTTTTTTCCGGAAAACGGAGGGCCCGCGCCGTTCGAAAACCAAAAGTCAACTGCGGCAAAAGAGATATTGGCCGGGACCGACGTTTGCGAACGCCGCGGTCGTTATAGTATTAGAAAACGATATTCCGTTATTGACGGTTGAGCACGGAAATCGAACGACGCGTGTACTATGTTAAAACCGTCGTCCGCGGGGGGAAATCGTCCGGGTCGCGGCAAAAGAATCGCCCTGTACAGTGTATAATGCCGTTAACTCCTTGTCTCCCCTTCCTCCCCCGGACACGCACACGCGCACCCCTTTATATCGTTCTCGCGGGGCCCCCATATTGTTTAATATCTCTGACGGTCGGCTCCGGCGCGTGAAATACGGGCAACAACATGGAAGCTGCGGCGGCGAAACGATAACTATACATATACGTGTCTATGTGTTTTATACGTGTGTGCGACGACGATGGGGGCGGTGTACGAGTGTAGACCTAGGGAATGAGCGTGGGCGATAGACGAACGGAGGGGGCGCAAAGGAAATAGAACGCTCCCGCCCGCGCGCGAGTGTGTGTGTGTGTGTGTGTGCGTGCGCGCGTATAGGGGTCGAAAAAAGTCCGTCGTTTCATCAGTTAAAAGGGTTCTGGCACGGCGGCGGCGGCGGCTGCGGTGGCGGAGAGGGCGGAATGCTCGCCGCTAATGAAGGGCCGGCGGCGTCGTTTGCACCCCTTTCGCGTCCGCCGACCAATGAGCAATCCGCTTAGCAATCAATATATTCAACCCCGCTGCCGGACGCTGCCATCATGAATCTTCCCCGCCGCCGCCGCCGCCGCCGCCGCAGCTCCGGCAACACTCTCCCGCGCGCGCGAGCTTCCGCGAGGCCTCGCGCCACGCTCGCGTCGTAAGCGCGCGCGCACACACACGCGCGCACACATTGCATCGCGAACACACTGTATGCCACTGCACACGCACCCCCCGGACCGCGTTGCTAATCACTACTACTATATATATATACCCGACACTTTAATTGCTTCGGGCGCGAGATCGCCGCAGCGGTATTCCGAGTTTTCGCGCGCCGTACGCGTCCGGGGTTCATATCGCCCGCGCCAGACCCATGAGTTATTGAAACGGTACCGCGGATGCGCCTACGCATGACTTTATGCGCGCGGCACCCGCGTCGGTGGCGTAACTGGAGAATTTCCAACGCCGGCCGTGACGTAATACTGTGTTAATAGGTCCTGAAGGGCCGGACCGACAAGCGAATGGAAAAAATAGCCGCGAATGACTTTGCGCGGCCGCTGTTGCGGGCGAGAAGTCGGAAAGGAAATAGAGAGGAAATTTAACGTACGCGCGACGATAAACGATCGCTAACGAAAAAACGATTCTGAACGGAGTTCAGTCGCCGATAGTGTTGCTCCGCCGAGAACATATTACGTGGCATTGTATTGTGGTAAAATAATTGCATAGGCGTAATCATATTTTCTTTAATAACATTTGTTTAATGTTCTACATATTTTCCCGTTTTTCCTGCGCTTTTTCTCGGTTTTTCTAATTCGTTGCGAAAACTCCGGAGAAAATCGACAAATGACCTCCTCAAAGTACCTACCTCCACAGTCCGATTAGCTTTTGGAAAAAGTGCTACCGTCATTGCAAATCGCTTAAACGTCTTTGTAAAACCACCGTCAGCTTCTTCGCTCCGGTCGGAATCCATAAAACGTCATCCGAAAAGACCCTCGTCTGTCCAACGACTTCGTGGGCCCCGGTCTGTGCCAGAGCCCTCGTCGGTTGTAGGCCCGCGGCGTTCGCCCGCCTCGCCCTCGCCTCGCCGGTTCATTTACGCCACTGATACCTCTACACAGCGTTCGTCCGTTCGCCGCTGCAAAATACGCGTCGCCGTGGTCGCGGCCGCAGATGTTACGGATATCGGGTCAAACTCGTTGCCGCGGGTCAGCGGGCGAACAATTTGTTGACAATCGAAATGCGGATAGCGAGCGAGAGTGCGGAGAAAAAAACGGCAATAACACACGACCTGGCGTGTACCGAGCACAACAGCGTTTTCCCGCCCGGAAACATTTAAATGCGAAGAAAAAAAAAAAATTATAATATAAGGCTAGAAATTGGTAAAACACGGTGTTTTTCTCTCCCCTGGCCGCTGCACGTTTTGCGGGTGAAAAAAAAAATTATGATTATTATTATTATTATTATTACTGTCCCCTCATAGCGCGCGCCCGTGGAAATCCGACATTTTGCGAATAACAATACGATTAAGTATATTGTATATGTAAATCTGGCTTAATTTTCGAGAGGACCGGCGGCGCAGCTGCCGGTTTCGCCGAGGCGCGCATTGTGTGCGACGGTAAAAACGCGAGAGAAAAAAAAATAATAATAATAATAATAATAAAGGCGTGATCTAGATCCAGATTGTGTATACGC